GATCTTCAGCTCTCCTCTGCTGTCATTTTGAATCAGTTTGTCATGATGATAGAAAATCATATCAGAAAGTTTGTTTTCTCCTCTCCATCTGCAGCTCAGAGTAACAGAAGCTCCTTCAGTCACAGGATGGACGGGGCTCACCAGGAGAAGACCTTCATCTGGAAACCAGACAGAGAAAATGAAGCTTCAGTCAGAAATCAGCTGCTGGAGACAATTAGAGAAAAAAACTGAACATGTGATTTTTATCATTGATGCTTTAAAGTTTATCTTGAGCACCTTTTATATTGAAAATTTAACATTTGCCAAATAATTTTTTGCTTTTCACTGTTATTAGTGAACTATGGAGCAACTATGTGCATCAACATTTCTAACAGCAGCTGAATAACAATGGTGACTTTAATTATATGTTACAAGAACAAAACTGAATGAAAAATACTCATTTTGGATCATAAACTAGGCCTTCCTGACATTGATTGAGGAATGACAGTTTTTAAAATTTACATTAAATCTGTAAAATCACTGAAAAAAATACCTGGTCTATTGCATTCAGGCTTTAATTTCTGGTAAGCTGTAAAATTGGGAATTGTAAAATCCTGCTGTGTGTTTCTGTCCATGAATTATGAAGAAGTTCTCTATAGTCCCATTGATGCTACCAGGCAGCAGCTCATATCTGTAGTTTTTGTGCTTTAGATCAGGAACAACTTTGTACCAGTAGAACCTCCATCCTGCAGATGAAGGTTTAACCTCACAGCTCAGAGTCACTGAGGCTCCAGGATTCAGCCATGATGGAGACACAGTGAGGACTGACCTTGGTGCTGCTGACAGCAGATTCTCACCTCCAGATCTCCTATGTACTGTACAAAATGACAGAATATAATGAAGCACAAAGAAATGTTTGTATTTGCTTATATTCATCAGCACCTGAAGGAGGAGCTAAATATGACTAACATGTACCTTTTTCTTACACTTAATGTTAATGTCAATCTGTACAATAAATTGCTTAACAACAGGGTATAAATTAATTTAGCAAAATGTAAACATTTATTCTATTTTAATAGTTTCAATGATCAATGTCCTATAGAGTAAAACAAGGAAACCAGGATTTAATTTAACACACATTTATAATAGTAGGCAGTTATTCTGAGGCTCAATCCAAAACCAGGGGGCAAAATACTACAGATCTGAAACTAACTACTTTTTTTCTCCAAATAGAAAAATCTTGTTTGACACTCATTTCTAGCTCCATCACATTAGTAAATGTTACATGTGTATGGGTGATCCTGAGACTCCTGCTAAAAAGAGATTCTCCTGTAACATGACGATGCAAAAATCACAAAACAAATGCTTAATTGAATCAAAATGCAAATTCAGCCAAGCTCTAGATCACGGTAAAGAAAGAAGAATATTCTTTTATCTGGTGATTTTCCACAGCAGAGGAAAAAACTGAGAACTAAAACACAGATTGAAATGTTGTTAGATGTGAAGCAAACAAAATCAATGTAAAGAGTCATACATTATTGACTATTAAAATGTATTGCATACTTCTGAAGTTTCAGCTAAAATTAAAACCTTATGTTGTTAAATGTATTTCAGATTCAGCAGTGTGGGTGAAACGGAGCATTTAATGAATCTGATTGTGTTTCTGCCACAGAGACGAAGACCTGCTGGTCTTTGAATGTTCAGTGATTTATCTGGAATCAGTGGAAGAGAAAAACTGACCTAGAGTAATCAGTTACTGAGTTAAGCGCACACACACACGTTTGTGTTGCTATCTTTGTGGGGACTTTCCATTGACTTCCATTCATTTCTACAGCCTAAACCTTACCTTTACCCTTTTCCTAACCCTAACCATCACATACCTAACCCTAACCAAAACTCAATTCATACCTTAGCCCCAACTCTGACCCCTGACCCAAAAACAGGGTTTCCCCTAGTGGGGACCAGGCTCCGGTCCCCACAAGGAGCAATTGGTCCCCACCACGTAGTATATGTCAGGAAAATCGTCCCCACAAGTTATTACAAACAAACGCGCACGCGCGCACGCACGCACGCGCGCACACACACACCAACCAAGTTAGTTTACTACATTACAGGGCTGGCTTTCCGCTCTGTTAAGACTCTGGTTGAGCTTTATATGATCTTTGTGTCTTAAGGGATTCATAATGTTTATTAATAATGAGGACCTTCACAGCATCAAGATCTGTAATACTCAGTCTCCTCCATGTCCTTATGAAATTATAAAGTAATCTAAGCTGCCATGTTTCAGTGACAAAGATTCTGACAAGGTTTATTGTGCAAGAGGTGAGGATACAAAAACTAATTTAGGAGACAAAGTCTCAGAGCTACAAGTTCTAGACTCTGATGATGTCAAAAATATCATTGTAGCAGCATAAATGGTACGCTGCCACTTTCAGGTCAATTTTGGCTGCTGCATATAAGCAAGCCTTCACCTGTCATGAGGCTGCTTGCGTCATAACGTCAACTCAATCTGCTTCCTTTGTCTGCACCGTGCTGGCTAAGCGTGGCTGTTTTATCTTTCTTTGTCAGCTTTAATAGTAGTTAATGCTAACTGGTCTATCTGCTTAGTCTCCTTTGCTGCACCTCCAATATCTGGACCGATCTGTCTGTTCATTTGTTTGCTGACAGGAAGGTAAGGGCCATCGTGGCTAGGCAACATTTACCCCATGTAAACAAAACCTTCACATAGCGTTTTTTACAGTTTACATCTAGGTGGAATTGAGGATCTGGTTATTTGGCAGTGCAGTCATTTATCAGGTCACAGGTAAGCAGCTGCTGCAAGTTATGTTTTTGTTAGCAGTTGTATTAATAATTTGCTCTATTCTTTTTAGCCTTCTGACTCATCAGCATTGTACCTGGAGTGACACTTGCTGCTGTTTTGCCTACTTATAAATTGTTTTAAAAGACTAATCTGCACTTTCCCTGCTGCCGGGAGCATTGATGGCAATACTAAGGGGATAAAGTGCAACATTGTAGAGCTATTGTATCACTATTTTACTTGTATTTCATTTTTTTGGCTTTCTTTTAGGGACTGAGGCTTCTGTGGTGGCGGTGGTGACCCCTGGTGGCGGTGTCTTGTCTTGTGCGTTTTGTTGGAGCACCTTTTTCTTTCTTTGTTTGCCGTGTTTTTGTAGTGTCCAGGGTGGTCCCCTTTTTCTGCACTGGATGTTGCCCCTTCCCTCACTACTTCCCCCATCGGTAAGCCTCAGTTTCCTTTGAAATTTAAACATTTTATTATCATAAATCTTGTCAAATGCATTCACTGTTTTAACCATTCAATTTCAGATTATTGGAAATTTAAATATATTGAAGTTTAATACATTTTTGTAGAACCTTCTGAATCTTGTCTCCTCATTTCCAGCAGAACTTACCTGTGTCCTTACTACATTACATTTTCCTGGAGGTATTCCAGGTGGCGTTGTTGGTCATTGTAACATTTTATGTTCTATATTTGGGTTCATAATAAAAAGAAAATCCCCCCCCCAGGTTGCCACATCATCATCAATTTGTTCTCATTTCCTCATGTAAACTTGCAGCCAAGATGGCAGTGGAATCAGACTCATTAAAAAAATTAACATTTTACATCTGAGTGAAGACTGAGCAATGATATTAGGTGATTTTAGATGGTTTATTGTTGTTTTTCTCTTTTTACAAAAGCAAGTTATGTAAAACCTACAAAAATCCTTTCAACATTTCTCTTCTCTGTTGACCACGGCGATTAACGTCCAAACATTTAAAGATGATTTTACCGACATGATTGAAACAGAAAATGTAATGTACTTACACAGTAGGCACAGCACACAGAGCAATGTGTGGTCCATGTTTAAATCCAGAAATAAAATGTTTCTGCTCCTCTGTGAGCTCCAGAAATTCTGATGTTTGTCACAAGAGAAAGGCTGAAACTAGCAGAATGAGTAAGACGTGAAAAATAGTCGAGGGTCGTCTTCATAGAACATCCGCCCTTGTGGTTCCTTCTTTTGAGGAAACTATTAATGTCTCCAACCTACAGTTCCTGTTTTGACTGATAATTTCCTTTATTTGCCACCACAAACACAAGCTACTTATTTAGCATTCTTTGCACACACCACGTCATTAAAAGTGGTACTAAAACTAGAGCTGGTGAGATTTTGTAAAAAAAAAAAATATATTACATGCCGTAAGAAAAACATAATTTGAAAAACGGTCTTACGTGAGGAATGAAGCTTTACTGTGGTTATTTAAATTAGCTTTAATAATTTGTGGCAACATTCTAACCTGCTTCTAATAAAAGTGTCTCTTATTGTTTTCTGTGTACTTTCCCTGACAAAGAATAGAACTTGACTCATAGTGGATTTTTGATAACTGATGAAATTCACACCGTTTTTTCTCTCTCTGTTTAGCTCTTGGTGAAGGCGGACATTTTTTTTCCCTCCGTTTCCTCCCTTCCTGTCCTGTTTTTCTGCTGTCTATCTCCATTTTTTGGAATCTTTTTGCACATATTCCAAATCTACAAATTATGTATCTGGTCAACTGATCTCTCAATGCGATTGATGAACAAGAA